TATATATATATATATATATATATATATATACACATATTTATTTATTCCTTACAACTCAGTATTTCCCACTTGTAACACTATGTAACTATGAGTAATTCTAAGCTACCAGTAGAAAGCGTCAGATTATTGAAAAGAGATCTTGGTATTCTTTTACTTATAAAGCAGTACTTTCTTTAGACAGGATACTAAAATGAAAACAAATTTAGCTTCAATATTTATTCTACAATTAATATAATTTCCATGATGAGCGGAACACAAAGGTCTTATATCTAAACACTTCGACTTCTTTATCTCTACTTATATATTCATATTTCTATAATTCTACTTGTATATATCTCTACTTAAATATTTCTATTTACATATATCTCTATTTGTATATCTTTTCCTAAATATTTCTATTTACATATATCTCTATTTGTATATCTTTTCCTAAATATTTCTATTTACATATATCTCTTCCTAAATATTTCTCTTTGTATATCTCTACTTAAATATTTCTACTTGTATATCTCTACTAATATATATATATACATCTTCTGAAGCACATTGGTTTACCAAATGTAATATAAATTGCGGAACACGAAAATTTAGTTATTCTACACAGTAACATATTCTACACATTAAAGTGATTCTGATAATAGAACTCTAACATATATTTATTCAACGCACTAGCGTGACCCTAATTTTTACATAATATGTTTGTCTTACCGTTATCTCTTCTCGAACTTCTGGTTCTAAAAAAATAATAACAATAAAAAAATGTGAGACCGTGAATTTTTCAAACAAAATTTTTGTAGACAATTTTCTGCAGACAAAAATATTGACTACTGAAATTAACTGAATATTTTTTGTTAAAAAAAAATTGAATCCTAAAATAATGCATATTATCGTATAGCAGTGAGAAGTTAAGATAAACTAAAATAATTATTAGCCGATACTGACATAGAAACATAAAAAACAATTTTTAAAGTTGTTTGTAACACCTATCGCAGGGACAAATTGGGTAATATTTGGAACTAGGGGGAGGATTACCAAAAATCAATCTTTGAATTCGATTGCTGAAATGATACTTAACGAAAGTACTAATGACAAGGATTTCACAGTTTTTTAGAGCAAAATGTTAAGTATGATGAGGATATGACTACATAAAGATTGATGTATCAACGAAGTTTAGCCACTAGCATAAATTACTCAAGCTCCGCTGCGGGATTCTAAGATCCCCTCATGATTCACAGAGTCCTCAATGTACCACTCAAGCGTCCCAATTATTTTAATTACTTCTATTGCTACCCCAATGTGCCAATTCTTTAATTGATTTGTCTGTTGCAAATTCAACTATTTTTTTTTAAACAAATAGTTTTAATTTAGCTTCTTGGATTGGTTTTTTTTTCTTCGTTTTTATTTTAATTCTTCTCATTCTCCGAATTCTACAATATTATCTGGTTCATATTTTTCTTCCCGTTGTTTGTTGCTGTTTCCCAAACTTAGTTCAATTCAACTTTTTTTAATTCTCAGATTTGTATTCTTCTTCCCATGTTTGTATTGAAAAAGAGTGTTTGGCAGAAAACCTCCATATATTGTTCATTAAGTGAGAATTAGAAAAAAAAAAATGATACTTTTCTATAGATCTTCAGGATGCAGAATTATGGGGCTTAAGGGCTTTAGGGCAAAAAGTGACCATTTTTTTAGTCAAATCTAAAAAATAATACCCAGGTGCACACCCTCAGAATCCCCTAAGTATGTGTGTAAAGTTTCAGGCCTCTTGGTTCTTTCGTCTTGGAGCTATGGCGGTCACACACACACACACATACACAGGCTCTTTTATTATTACAGAAAAAATCTAAAAAAGTAATACCCAGGTGCACACCCTCAGAATCCCCTAAGTATGTGTGTAAAGTTTCAGGTCTCTTGGTTCTTTCCTCTTGGAGCTATGACGGTCACATAGACAGACAGACATACACAGGCTCTTTTATTATTATAGATGTAGATAACTAGCACTGCCATTATAAACAGCCTCATTTTGAATGCATTTACAACATACTGTATCAAGCTAAAACATCAGTAGTCTATTGGGTTTTGATATAAATTTTACACAAATGGAAAACTTCGTCATTTTGTAGTGAATCACACTATGGAGCTAATAACACCCTTCTCAGCGGCAGTTTTGATTGTACTTCAATTATATTTTTCTTGAACTTGTTACTGGATATGATTTCTTTGGTTCCTCTGCTATATTTTACAAAATGTCTTCCTATATTAAGGAATAATTGGTCTGTATCATTGGGTAAGACAATACAGTATATTCTATTTAGTACTGAAATGCTGAAGGTAACTTGTATGAAAGTAGAATTAAAGGATTCATTTTCACATGATTTTCGACTTGGTAAATTTCTCGTCAAGGAAGTCTCTATTCCGAAAATATCTTTGCTATCATATATATATATTTGCATTCTTTCAGGATGTAATCATTTTCTTTGTCACTATCTTTAATTAAGTCGAAACATCATCAATAAAATCCATTGTTTTTCGACAGTGATGAATAAAATGTTTTGGTCTTTACAAGTATTCTTTACGAAACATCTATTATTATTTGTAATAGAAAATAAGCAGAAAATTATTCAAACGCCTGAGAATACTATAAATTTTCATTAACCACGACAATTGCTTGAGGACGTAATGAGTAACTACAATATAATGCTGTCTCTTGAAAAAAATAATTATTTGCATTTGTTCTATTAATATTTCTGCTGCAGCAGTCAATTAGCATAACCGAAGTTCTCAATGACTTAAACGTTTTGATCTTTCCTTTCTATTGATTATCAAGTCTTATCTGGTGGCTAATGACTAATTTAGGATATAAAATCGAGTTTCAATCTTATACAGTAACTTGTATCAACTTGCAGTTCCTAACGTTCCGAGATTTCGTTTGAGATCATCTATGCATTCAAATGAATTAACTGTAAGCCGTTCCGCTGAGATAATCTGTGCACATGATATAACCGTAACCCGTTCCACTAGAATAATGTGCAAATAATTTAATTCTAACCTGTCTCGTTGAGATAATCTTCGCATATCAGTTAACACTAACCCGTACAGTTATATCACAGAAAGCTACAATACAGTAAGTAGAAACAAAATACTCACCTTCTGGGACTTCTTCCCGTGGAATTATGATTTTCACTTTTTCTGGAAAGCACAAAACAAATGATAAAAGTACTGAAAGGAAGGAAAGATAGCAAAGTGTAAGATAAACATAAAATTTATTGTCTTCGTGTGTTATATGTGTATACATTTGTAATAATATAAATTAGATAATTAACCTACATACTAACAAAAAAATTCAAGGACATTGGTAACTTACATATATAGAAATGTTTAAATTATTAGTAAAAGAGCTTTAAATTTATCCTTTAATTTCATACTTTGACACCAATGTAAAACGTATACTATTATGCAGTTGATAATATTGCAGAAATATATATTTATAAATATACCTCATTAAATACTGCGCTTACCTTCCACTTCTTCAGTCTTCTTTTCGGGTTCTTTGCTTGGAATTTCAAAGCTAAGAGATTCTTCTTCATCTTCAGCTATCTTGGGTTTCTTCTTCTTACGCTTGGGTGTTTTAACTTCGAATGCTTCTTCAACATCTTCTAACAAAGGTTTCTCTTCTTCTGGTTTTACCTTTAATGTGAAAGACTCTTCAGTGACTGACGGAACATCTTTGGTTGTAGGTTTCTTTTTAGGAGCTTTGACAGCAAATTCAGCCGATTCTTCTGTGATTTCATGCTTTCGTTCTTCTTTTTTCTTTAGCACAATCTTCGCGTCTTCAACTATTTCCTGTTCAGTACCTTTCTTTCGCCTAATACTTACTACTTCTTCAGTTTTTTCATCTTCTGGTTTCTCTTCAATTTCTTCAGGGCCTTCAACCTCAACCACTTTTTTCACCGTTACTTCAGCTTCTTCCTCAGTGACTTTATATTCTTCTTTTTTCTCTTCTGGTAATTTTATCACATCTTCAGCAGTTTCCTCTACAACTGGTTTCTCTGGAGTGGGCTTCGAAGGAAGAGTAACGTCAAATTTTCCCTCAACTGGCGATGTAACAGTGGGAGTTTCTTCTTCAGGAAGTTTAATTTGAGCTGTTTCTTCTACCACCTTTTCTGTTTCTGGTTTTCTTTTCTTCTTGGGTTTCTTAACGGCAAATTCAGCAGATTCCTCCGTAACCTCATACTTCTTTTCTTCCTTTTTCTTCAACACGACCTTAGCTTCCTCAGTAACTTCCTTTTTAATATCCTTCTTTCGTTTAATCTTCACTATTTCTTCAGTTTCTTCCTCTTTGGGTTTTTCTTCAATTTCTTCAGGGCCTTCAACCTCAACCACTTTTTTCACTGTTACTTCTGCTTCTTCCTCAGTGAGTTTATATTCTTCTTCTTTCTCTTCTGGTAACTTTATTACATCTTCGGTAGTTTCCTCTACAACCGGTTTCTCTGGAGTGGGCTTAGAAGGAAGAGTAACGTCAAACTTTTCCTCAACTGGCGACGTAACAGTGGGAGTTTCTTCTTCGGGAAGTTTAATTTCAGCAGTTTCTTCTACAGCTTCTTTTGGTTTAGGTTTCTTTTTAGGTTTCTTAACTGCAAATTCAGCAGATTCCTCTGTTACGTCGTACTTCTTCTCTTCCTCTTTTTTTAGCACGACCTTAGCTTCCTCAATAACCTCCTTTTTAACATCTTTCTTTCGCTTAATCTTTACTACTTCTTCGGGTTCGTCCTCTTTTGGTTTTTCTTCAATTTCTTCAGGGCCTTCAATTTCGACCACTTTTTTCACCGTTACTTCAGCTTCCTCTTCAGTGACTTTGTATTCTCCTTCTTTCTCTTCTGGTAATTTTATCACATCTTCAACAGTTTCCTCTGTAACTGGTTTTTCTGGAGTGAATTTAGTCGGGAGAGTAACGTCAATCTTTTCCTCAGTTGAAACTGTGGGAGCTTCTTCTTCAGGAAGTTTGATTTCAGCAGTTTCTTCTACCACTTTTTCAGGTTTTGGTTTAGGTTTCTTTTTAGGTTTCTTAACTGCAAATTCAGCAACTTCGTCTGTCACCTCGTACTTCTTCTCTTCCTTTTTCTTTAGCACAACTTTAGCTTCTTCAGTAACTTCCTTTTTAACATCTTTCTTTCGCTTAATTTTCACTACTTCTTCGGTTTCGCCCTCTTTTGGTTTTTCTTCAATTTCTTCAGGGCCTTCAATTTCAACCACTTTTTTTACGGTTACTTCTGCTTCCTCTTTAGTGACTTTATATTCTTCTTCTTTCTCTTCTGGTAACTTTATTACATCTTCAGTAGTTTCCTCTACAACTGTTTTCTCTGGAGTGGGCTTAGAAGGAAGAGTAACGTCAAACTTTTCCTCAACTGGCGACGTAACAGTAGGAGTTTCTTCTTCGGGAAGTTTAATTTCAGCAGTTTCTTCTACCACTTTTTCAGGTTTTGGTTTAGGTTTCTTTTTAGGTTTCTTAACTGCAAATTCAGCAGATTCCTCTGTTACGTCGTACTTCTTCTCTTCCTCTTTTTTTAGCACGACCTTAGCTTCCTCAATAACCTCCTTTTTAACATCTTTCTTTCTCTTAATCTTTACTATTTCTTCGGTTTCTTCCTCTTTGGGTTTTTCTTCAATTTCTTCAGGGCCTTCAATTTCGACCACTTTTTTCACCGTTACTTCAGCTTCCTCTTCAGTGAGTTTATATTCTTCTTCTTTCTCTTCTGGTAATTTTATCACATCTTCTAGTTTCCTCTGTAACTGGTTTTTCTGGAGTGGGTTTAGTCGGGAGAGTAACGTCAATCTTTTCCTCAGCTGGAACTGTGGGAGCTTCTTCTTCAGGAAGTTTGATTTCAGCAGTTTCTTCTATCACTTTTTCAGGTTTTGATTTAGGTTTCTTTTTAGGTTTCTTAACTGCAAATTCAGCAGATTCCTCTGTTACGTCGTACTTCTCCTCCTCTTTTTTAGCACGATCTTAGCTTCCTCATTAACTTCCTTTTTAACATCTTTCTTTCGCTTAATCTTTACTACTTCTTCGGGTTCGTCCTCTTTTGGTTTTTCTTCAATTTCTTCAGGGCCTTCAATTTCAACGACTTTTTTCACCGTTACTTCAGCTTCCTCTTTAGTGACTTTATATTCTTCTTTTTTCTCTTCTGGTAATTTTATCACATCTTCAACAGTTTCCTCTGTAACTGATTTTTCTGGAGTGGGTTTAGTCGGGAGAATAACGTCAATCGTTTCCTCAGCTGGAACTGTGGGAGCTTCTTCTTCAGGAAGTTTGATTTCAGCAGTTTCTTCTACCACTTTTTCAGGTTTGGGTTTCTTTTTAGGTTTCTTAACTGCAAATTCGGCAGATTCCTCTGTTATTTTATACTCAGGTTCCTCCTGTTCGCCTGTATGAACTTTTAACTCTTCTGAGACTTCTTGTTTATCCTTGACAGGCTTCTTTTTCAGTCTTATCACCTCTTCAATTTCTTCTTCTGGCTTTTCTTCCTTTACCTCAATAACTACCTCTTCCACTTTTTCCTTTGTTTCCGGAAGCTTCTTTTCTTCTAGAAGTATTGTTTCAATTGATTCCTCAGTGACAGGTGCAATTGGTTTTGGTCTTTCTTGTAATAAAACTTTAAATGTTTCTTGGACCACACTGGTGTCTTCCGGTTTTTCATGTTCCTTTAACAATTCAACTTCAAAAGCTTCAGTTATTTGGTCTTCCTCGGGTTTCTTAAGTTTTAGTGGGATTTTGAATGATTCTTCTATCTCTGGCTTTTCCTCTTCTGTCTTTTTAGGTATCTTAATTTCTTCAGACAATTCAATAGCTTTTTTTGTTTTCTTTTTCTTTTTGATCACTTTAGTCTCTGTGATTTCTTCTGGTTTATCTACTGGTTTCTCTTCGGGAGCTTCGACATCTATTAATTTCTTAACTGTGACTTCAGCTGCTTCTTCAACATATTTTTCTTCTTTCTTCGGCAATTCAATTTCTATTATTTCTTCTGAAGTAGGCTTTTCTTTTAGAGTAACTTTAAATGTTTCTTCTACAGGAGATGTAACCAATGACTCTGTTTTCTCATCTGGGGCTTTGATTACAAAAGTTTCATCTACAGTTGTCTCTTCAGGTTTAGGTTTTTCCAAAGAAATTTCAAACGATTCTTCTGATGGCTTAGCTTCCTCTTTCTTTGGAACTGTTATTGTAGCCACTTCAACAATTTCTTTAGGTTTTTCCTCTTTTTTTTGTGGTAAAACCAACTGAGCTACCTCTGATTTCTCATCTTTTTCTTTTTCTGGGATTTTTAACATGACAACGTCCTCAACTTTTTCATCCTCCTTTTCTTTTGGTTTTTCCGGTAAAATGATCTTTGTAGCTTCCTCAGGTTCTTTCTTTTTTCGCAACTTTATTTTTGTTTCAACAACTTCTTCTGGTGCCTCTTCTTTAACTTTTGGAACTTTTTTCTTTTTTGGTTTCTTTTCTTCTTGTTGTTCTACTTTTTCAGGTTCTTTTTCTGCTTCTTTAGGCCTTGTAACATCGTCCTCAATGAATTGTTTAGGTTTATCTTCTGCAATTGTTAATTCAACAGGTTCTATTTTATCAGCTTTTTCTTCTGTTTTTTCCGGTAATATGATCTTTGTAACCTCCTCCACTTCCTCAGGTTCTTTCTTTTTAGGTAACTTTATTTTTGTTTCAACAACTTCTTCTGGGGCCTCTTCCTTAAGTTTTGGAATTTTTTTCTTTTTTGGTTTCTTCTCTTCTTGTTTTTCTATTTTTACAGGTTCTTTTTCTGCTTCTTTAGGTCGTGTAACATCGTCTTCTACGAATTGTTTAGGTATTTCTTCTGTAATTATTAATTCAACAGGCTCTATTTCCTCAGCTTTTTCTGGTTTCTCAGGTTTCTTTAAGGTAATAGCTGTGTCTATCAAGATTATGAAAAATAAATGGTATCATTTATTCATACTTAAAAATACATTCTGTATACAAATAAGAAAATAATATACGTAATGAAAAATGAATCATGCAAATTAGTTTAAAGATGTTATCTTACCTTTGTTTATACGTAGACCACGTAAAATATAATACCATTTTCTATCAAATAGAAATAAATCAAATAATATCAAATAAAAGTTCCACATTAGAAATAGCATGAGGATATAGGGAAAATTTTAGTAGTAGATGGTTTAATAGGAAGGTTAGCAAAGCCATACCATTTACAAACAAACAAAAAGTCTTCCAGAAAAAAAAAGCGTTGAGGTATCAGTGATAGCTGGTTGATGAACAGTAACTTGTAACGAATTACTGTTGTTAGACTTACCCACTGCAAAAAAACGTAAAAGAAATAGTTAATAAACATAGGTAAAAGTCACAAAATTGTAAAACGTCTCCACATATGTAGAGATGTGAATAATAATTATAATTCTAACAGAGCAAAATATACTAAAATTATCTGTAAGGATTGATTAATCTTCAAACATTCACTCTATTATGTTACATAATTTCAAATATGTTGAATTAAACGTTTTTTTAACTACTTTGATTATATGGTTTTTAATTTAAGCTTCAACTTTGCTCTGACAACAAATGTTTTAGTTGATTATAGAGATATTTATAGAATTTGTAAAGTAACTCACCTTTGCTAACTGAAATTTCTTCTGGTGCTTTTTCTTCCAACTTTTCAGGAAAAGTTAAAGAAACCTCAGTTTTCTCCAACTCCTCTTTCTCTTCTCTTGGTTTCTTTTTGGGCTTTATGGTTACTTTAAAATCTTGTTCAACGTCTTCAACAGTTGTTACTTCTTTAATGTCTTCAGGCTTTTCTTTTGGAATTTCTTTTTCAGGATATTTAAGAGTTACTTCTGTCTGTGAGGTGTCTTTCTCATCTTCTGGTTTTTCTGTCTTTGACAGAGCAATATCAAGCTTCTCAATTGCTTCAGGTTTCTCTTTTTTTAATGTCTTTAAGGTAAATTCTGTTTCTTCTTCTGCGTGAATTTCTTGCGGAAGTTCCTTCTTTTCTTTTTCATCCTCTAGCTTTTTCTTGGGCTTTAAAATGACTTTAATTTCTTCTTCTTTTTCAACTGATTTTTCTTCAGGTTTTTCTTTCGGAATGTCTTTCTCAGGCACTTTAAAAATGACATCTATTTGTGAGACATCTTCCACATCTTTTATTTTTTCTGGTTTCTCTAAAACAACATCAACTTCTTGAGCTTCCTCGGGTTTCTTTTTTGGCTTAGGCTTTTTAAGCGATTTTACACTTATTTCGGTTTCTTCATCTTGCTGAATGTCTTGCGGAAGCAATTTTAGTTCTTTCTCTCCTTTCGGTTTTTTCTTAGGTTTCAAAGTTAATTGAACCTCTTCTTCCTTTTCAACTGGCTTTTCTTCTACTTTTTCAGGCTTTTTTGAAACTTCTTTCTCAGGTATTTTGAAAGATACTTCTACTTGTGAAACTTCATCTTTTGGTTTTTCTGGTTTCTCCAAAACAATAGAAATTTGTTCAATATCCTCAAGTATCTCATCTGGTTTAGGTTTTTTAAGCGGCTTAACTGTTATTTCTGTCTCTTCTTGCAGCTGAATTTCTTCTGGAAGTTCTTTCTTTGGTTTCTCGTCCTTTGGTTTTTTCTTCGGCTTCAAAGTCACTTTAACCTCTTCTTTTTCAAGTGGTTTTTCTTCAGTTTTTTCTTTTGGGAGTTTTTCTTCATCTAGCTTGAGGGTTATTTCTTCCGCTGAAATGACTTCTTTATCCTTTTGTTTTTCTGTCTTATCTAAAATCAAAATCACTTTCTCAACTTCCTCGGGTTTCTCTTCTGGTTTTTTGTGTTTCTTTATAGATATATTTATGTCTTCTTCAGGTTGTAATTTTTCTACAAATTCTGTAGGTTCTTCTTTTTTAAATTTCTTTTTTGGTTTTAAACTGACTTTAATTTCCGCATGCTCTTCCTCCTTTACTGGTTCCTCTGTGATTTCTTCAACCTCTAGACTAGTGGGTGTTTCTTCCTGTGGCTTTTTTGGTACCTCTTCATATTCTTCTATTATTGGTTTCTTAACAACTTCCTCGGGGACTATTTCTTCATCGGTGATTTCTTGGATAATAGGACGAGAAGGTTTGTCTTCAGAAAAACCACCAGTACTGAAAGATTCGTGGATTTCAGTGTATTGTATAATTTTGGAACCACCACTGACTTCTTCTGTATGAGACCTAACTGTCTTCTGTTTAATAATGATACTTGTTGATGCCTCAGTATCCTTTTGACTTATCTCAGTATCTAAAAGGCTTACACCTTCATCTTCTGGTGTTTGCTCTTCCAGTAAAACTTCTATTGGTTTTTCAATAACTGAACTTGGAAACTCTTCAATAATGGTCACATGAGCTAAATTTGTTGGCCAACTTTCTACAGTAAACTCCTTAGCTACACTGTCTTCTTGAATTCCTGATATTACAACTGAATATTCTTCATCCCAAGCAAAGCCCACATGTTCTTCCGTAGGTTTAGTAACGTCCTCTAATTTCTTGACTTTGAAATCAGCGCTAACTTCTGAAACAGTAATAGGTTCTTTTTCTGTAATTGTCATATCTGCTTTGGTAACTTCTGGCATTTTGAACTGCAGTTCTTCAGTCTTAACTTCAGGTTCAACAGCTGTTACTTCTAATGATGTTTGCTTAGGCAAAATTTTATGTGCTTTGCTTTCAAATGGTTTTTTGCTTGTGAAATCTTCTACTTTATTTTCTGAGGTTACTTCCTCCACGGAAAGGGGTTCTTCAATAGTTAACACAGTAGTTGCTTTACCTTCTTTTGGTTTAACAGCCTCTGGCAGTTTTGCTGACTCAAACTCACTTGTAACCTCTAATACTTGAACAGGTTCTGTGGCTAAAACATCTAATGAAGCTTTAAATTCTGTAACTTTTTTCTCATAAACAAATTCACCCTCTTTAATTTCTGACTTCGTTTCAAAAACTATAACATGTTCTTCTGTTGGTATAGTATAAGGAGCATGTTGCTCGTCAGGTAATCGTCTAGGACCAAAATCTCCTTCTTTTATATCAGTTTCTACTTCTGAAATAACAATATGTGCTTCAGTTGGCACTGAAAAACCAGCTGTTACCTCCATTGGTAGACGTCCTGATACAAATTCGCCTTCTTTAACATCAGTTTCCACCTCAGATATAACTACGTGATCTTCTGTTGGTATACTGAATCCAGCAGATCTCTCTTTGGGTTTTTCTGTTTCAAGTTGTCTTTCCTGTTGCTGTACATCTATTTCAGACACAATAACATGCTCCTCAATTGGCAATGTAAATGGAGCTTGCATAACACCTGGCAACTTGTCTGGTGCAAACTCTCCTTCCTTGTATTCATAATCTACTTGCGATATAGTTACATGTTCTTCAGTATCGAAAGAAAACCTAGCTGTTTTTTCTCCAGGAAGAGCCCCTGGTAAAAATATTTCTTCTTTGATATTTGCTTCAACTTCCGATATTAAAACATGATCTTTCCCTGGAATAAGATACTTTGCTGTTACTCCAGATGGCTTAGCTTCTGGAGCAAATTCTCCTTCTTTTAATTCACCAGAAATTTCTGAAACTACGAGGTGCTCTTCAACAGGGACACTGAATGGAGCAGTAACTGTTTGAGGTAAAGTTCTTGGAGCAAATTCCCCTTCTTTGGTATCTGTTTCTACCTGTTGAATAATAACATGTTGTTCTGACGAAAGTGAGAAATCAGCAGTAACTTGTAAGGGTTTTCTTTCAGTTTTAAGATCTTCTTCCTTCAAATCTGATTGAACTTGTGAAACAACTACATGGTCTTCGGTAGGAACAGAAAAGTCTGCTGTTTTCTCATCTGGTAATTGTCCTGGTGCAAAGATACCCTCCTTTGTATCAACTTCAATTTCTGATACAAGAACATATTCTTCAGTAGGAACTGAAAAATCTACTTTTCTTTCATTGGGTAACTCTCCTGCTACAAAAGTGCCTTCTTTTGTATCAACTTCAACTAGTGATACAAGTACGTGTTCTGCTGTTGGCACAGTGAACGATGCTGTTTTCTCATCTGGTAACAATTTAGGTGTAAATGTTCCTTCTTTTGTATCTATTTCAACTTCTGACACAAGAACATGTTCCTCAGTGGGAACTGTAAAACCAGCTGTTATTTCTTCTGGTAATTTTTCTGGAATGAATTCACCTTCTTTTATTCCTGCTTCAACAGATGATAAAACAATATGCTCTTCAACAGGTACACTGAAAGCAATTGATCGTTCTTTTGGCTTTTGTTCAGTATCAAAGAAAGTTTCCTTCACCTCTGTTTGTGTTTCTGAAACAACAACATGTTCTTCCACAAGAACATCAAAACCAGCTGTCACCTGAGAAGGTAGAGTTTTGATACTTAGTTTCCCCTCCTTACTTTGAGACTCAACTGCTGAAACAACAAGATGTTGCTCAGTTGGGATTGTAAAATCAGCACACAATTCTGGAAGCTTTTTACCTGGAACAAACTCTCCTTCTTTCTGCTGGCTTAATGTTTCAGATACAATAACATGTTGTTCAGTTGGTATAGAAAATCCAATATTTATTTCTGCTGGTAATTTACCTAATGCAAATTCTTCTTCTCTGGTTTCACTTTCTACTTGAGAAACAGTAACATGTCTAACAGTAGGCACACTATAACCTGCAGTTTCTTCCAAAGGTTTATCCTGGGGTTTCATATCATTTTCTTTAATGGTTGTTTCAATTTCTGAAATAACAAGGTGCTCTTCTGTGGGAACGGTAAAGTCAGCACTAAAACTCAAGGGCTCTTTTCCTGGAATAAGTGTTTCTTCTTTATTTCCTGTTTCTGTTTCATAGATTATTAAATGCTCTTCCACTGGAACGTTAAAATCAGCTGTTACTTCCATAGGTAGTTTCTTCGGACGAAACTCCCCTTCTTTTGTTTCAGTTTCAGTTTGAGAAACTACTACATGCTGCTCTACAGGGAAAGTGAATCCTATTTGAATTCCAGTAGGAAGTCTTCCAGGAACAAATTCCCCTTCCTTGGCTTCTGGTTCTGTCTGCGATATAACAATATGTTCAACAACTGGTACAGAATAACCAGGAGATACCTTCTGGGGAATCGTTTCAGGAATTAACTCATCTTCCTTTGTCTCTGCCTTTGTTTCATACACAACCACGTGTTCTTCGACTGGTACACTAACACCAGCAGTTACTTCCGGTGGTAATCTACCTGGTATGTATATCCCTTCTTTACTTTCAGCTTCAGTCTGACTAATAACGACATGCTCTTCTACAGGTACACTAAATGAGGCACTGGCCTTTGGTGGCAATTTCTGGGGAACAAACTCCCCTTCTTTAGACTCAGTTTCTGTTTGTAACACAAGAAGATGCTCTTCAACAGGTACAGATATTCCTGCATTAGCCTCTGTAGGATATTTACTAGGATGAAATTCACCTTCCTTTGTTTCTGTTTCAGTTTGTGAAACAACAACATATTCTTCCAGTGGAACGGATATGTCAGCTGTTAGTTCAGTTGGACGTTTCTCATGGACGTATTCGCCTTCTTTCATCTCAGTATCTGTTTGAGACACTATTACATGTTCTTCAACAGGAACAGTAAACTTAGCATTCACTTCTGGCAGTAGTTTGCCAGGTACAAACTCTCCTTCTTTAGTTTCTGCTTCTGTCTGAGATATCAAAATATGCTCTTCAACAGGCACTGTAACTGATGGCTTAACCTCTGCAGGCATTTTTGCTGTAATTAATTCATCTTCTTTTGTGATGGATTTTATTTCAGAAACAATAACATGTTGTTCCGAGGGTACAGACACATCTGCAGTAATTTCTGGGGGAAGTTTACCTGGAATAAATTTACCCTCCTTTGTTTCAGATTCGGTCAAAGAAATTACAAGGTGCTCTTCCACAGGTACAGACACATTTGGTACATATTCTGGGGGAGCTTTTTCTGGAATAAATTCACCCTCTTTAGTTACTGCTTCTGTTTGAGAAATGACAACATAATCCTGTGCTGGTACACTATAGCCAGGAGTAACTTGTGGTGGAAGTCTAGATGGCACAAAATCTCCTTCTCGAGTCTCAGTTTCAGTATGTGATACAACTACATGTTCTTCAACAGATATTGTATATCCAGCAGTAGCATGTGGAGGAAGTCTTTCTGGCTTATACTCACTTTCTTTTGTCTCAGTTTTTGTTTCAGATATAACAACATGTTCTTCAAGTGGAACAGAGTATGAGGCAATTACTGTTTGAGGTAGTTTTCCAGGAATAAAAACGTCTTCTTTTGTTTCAGTTTCTGTTTCAGAAACAACAACACTCTCGGCGACTGGAACAGAAAAGTTTGGAGATACTTCAGGAGGAAGTTTCTGAGGAACAAGGTCGTCCTCCCTTACTTCAGATTCAGTTGCTAAAACAATCAAATGTTCTTCAAGAGGCATGCTAAAACCAGCAGTGACTTCTGGTGGAAGTTTTCCAGGAACAAAGATACCTTCTTTACTTTCAGTTTCAGTTTCAGAGATAACAATATGGTCTTCAAACGAAACTCCAACAGCTGCAGTAACTTCAGGGGGTATTTTTATAGGCTGCAAATCTCCCTCTTTTATTTCAGTCTTGGTCTCTGACACTACTACATGTTCTTCTACTGGCACTGTAAGACCAGCAGTAACTTGAAGTGGAAGCCTACCAGGAACAAATTCTCCCTCCTTAGTTTCTGTTTCTGTTTGACTGATCACAACATGTTCAGCCAAAGGCACAGAATAATCAACAGATACTTCTTTTGGGAGCTTTTCTGGGACAAATTCACTCTCTTTCAATGCTGTTTCTGCCTGTAATACTACAACGTGTTCTTCAACTGGAACAGTATATCCTGCTCGAACTTCTAGTGGTAATTTCCCTGCTACAAACTCACCTTCCTTTGTTTCTGTCTCAGTTTGGTGAACAACAATGTGTTCTTCAAAAGACACAGTGAATCCTGCAGTAACTTCAGGTGCACGTTTTTCTGGAATAAACTCTCCTTCCTTTGTTTCTGTCTCTGTCTGTGATACAACAACATGCTGTTCAGTGGGAACTGAATACCCAGCTGTAATTTCAAGAGGTGATTTACCAGGTACAAAATCTCCCTCTTTTATTTCAGCCTCAGTATGAGTGATAAGCACGTGTTCTTCAGTAGGTACTGAAAACCTAGCAACCACATCAGTGGGTATTTTTTCTGGGATAAATTCTCCTTCTTTGGTTTCAGTGTCAGTTTGGGAAACAACAACATGTTCTTCTACAGGTACACTATAATCAACAGCAACTGTAGGTGGTAACTTACCAGGTTTAAATTCTCCCTCTTTTCTTTCTGTTTCTGTTTGGAAGATAAGAATATGTTCTTCGCATGGGATAGTTAGTCCTGCAGTTACTTCTGGTGGCAATTTCCTAGGGATGAGTTCTTCCTCTTTATTTTCTGTTTCAGTATGTGACACAACAACATGTTCCTCAACAGGGACAGAAAATTCAGCAATTACTGCTGCAGGTAATCTACCTGGCACAAATGAGTCCTCTTTGCTCCCTGTTTCTGTTTCAGACACAACAACATGATGTTCAACAGGTATTGTGTAATCTAAAGATATTTGAACAGGTTTCTTTTCTGGCACAAATTGGTCTTCTTTTGATTCGGTTTCAGTGTGAGCTACTATTACATGCTCATTTACAGGTATTGAGTATCCAGCAGTGAATGAAAGTGGTAGTTTTCCTGGTACAAATTCACCTTCTTTGGTCTTCAATTCAGTTACTGACACAACAACATGCTCCTCAGTTGGTATACTCATTTCCGCACTAACAAGCCTTGGCAGTTTTTCTGGAATTAGTTCTGTTTCCTTTGATCCAGTTTCTGTCTGTGATACCACAACATGTTCTTCTACTGGAACACTAAATGAGGCAGTCACTTCAGGAGGCAATCGACCAGGAATAAATTCTCCTTCTTTATTTTCTGTTTCTACCTTAGAAACAATAACATGTTCTTCTGTTGGAACAGAATATTGGGCTGTAAGTTCAGTTGGTAATTTTTGAGGTCCAATGTATTCTTCTTTGACACTACTCTCAGTATGAGAAACCAAAAGATGTTCTTCTAATGGGATTGTCACACCAGCTTTCATCTCAACAGGTAGCTTTCCTGGAGTGAAAGTTTGCTCTTTAGTTATGGTATCAATCTGTGACACTACCACATGTTCCTCTGTGGGCACAGAAATACCGGCCATGACCTCAACAGGTTTTTTATCAACAGGAAGTTCACTTTCTCGTTGTTCTGTTTGTATTTCTGACACAACAACGTGGTCTTCACTAGGTACAGATGTATCTGCAGTGAATAGTTTTGGAAGTTTACCAGGAATAAATTCTCCCTCTTTAGCCTCTGTATAGGGTTCAGATATAAGAACATGTTCTACAGATGACAACGAAATACCTGCAGTCATTTCTGGTGGCATTTTATATGGTGAAAGTTCGCCTTCTTTCAATGAAGCTTCCTCGTGAGATACTATTAAAGATGTTGCTAAAGGCACAGAAACATTTGCTTCTACTAATATCGGTCCTCGTTTGGGTTTAAATTCTCCCTCTTTCAATTGGTATGGAGTTTCTGACACAAAAAGATGTTTTTCAGTAGGTAAAGTGTAATCAATTACTTCAGACTGTGGTAGCTTACCAGGAATAAACTTTCCTTCTTTATGATCAGTGGTTACTTCTGAAATCAACACATGTTCCTCTGTAGGAATGCTAAACCCTACCATTATTCCTTCGGGTCTCTTTTCTTCCTTGAATTCCCCTTCTTTTACCTCTGTTTCTATCTGTCCCACAACAATATGCTCCTCTACAGGTAGGTTTACTCCAGCTGTCCTTTGTTTAGGTAATGCTTTGGCAGTGAAATCTTCTTCTTTAGTTTCGAGCTTAACTTCTGACACAATAATATGTTCAGTTGTTCCTAATGAAGGAGTAACTGAAGCTAATTTTGGTTTATTATCTGGTGCTAATTCACTCTCTTCTTGAGATACCTCTACTGATGATATGATCACATGTTCAAGAGAAGGGACATTAAACTTAGGTGTTAACCCTTTTGGTACCTTTTCAGATTCAAATATTTCTTCCATTTCATTTAATCCAGTTTCAGCAACAACAACATGTTCTTCTGTAGGTACTGAAAACCCTGCTACTACTCCTTCAGGTAGTTTTGAGGCTTTATACTGATCCTCTTTCATTCCATATTCCACAGAAGATACTGTTAAATGTTCTTCTACAGGTAATGACAAGCCTGCTATTCTCTCCTTTGGTTTATCATATGGTTTGAGATCAAACTCTTTGTCAGAAGACTCTACTTCTGCAATGAAAACATGTTCCTTTGTTGGTACAGAAAATGAGAGTTGAATTTCAGGTGGTAGTTTTTCTGGAACAAACTCGCTTTCTTGTACATCTGATGTTATTTCTGATACCAAAATATGTTCATCTGTGGGTATTGAAACTCCTACAGTTGCACCTTTAGGTAGTTTATGTGAAACAAAAATACTTTCTTTATCTTCTACTGATACTTCTGATATGACAACATGGTCTTCAGTTGGGACAGATACATTAGCACTTCCTTTCTTTGGTTTTATTTCAGCTGGTAACTCTTCTTCTTTTTGCTCAATTTGTGTTGACAAAATTATAACATGCTCATCCACAGGGACAGTAAAATCAGCTTTTTTCTCATTTGGAAGTATTGGTGCAACAAATTCACTCTCGGTTATAGCTGCATCAATCTCAGATATGAGAATGTGTTCTTGTGTTGGCATTGTGAATGGAGCTGTTATACTTTGTGGCTTTGTGGTTGGTATATATACACCTTCTTTCTGTGGAGCAGTAACTTCTGATATAATGACATGCTCTTCAGCATCGATTCCAACTAATGCTGAACTTTCTTTTGGTAGTTGCTCAGGAGTGAATATTCCTTCCCTAATTTCTGTTTCTGTGAGATAAACATTCAATGCCTCTTGCTGTGAAATATCAGTCGAAACAAAGTGTTCTTTTGGTGTCTCCTTAGGAATTAATGACTCTTCAGAAGAACCTGATGTTACTTGTGAAACCAATAGGCTTTCTCGGAAAGTAAAATCTACAAAGGCTGTCTTACTTGCTGGTGTTAGATCTGGTTTGAGTTCTTCATGATAAGCAGCTGCAGTGACTTCAGAAACTTCAAGGTACTTTTCAAGAGATAAAATCGGTTTTGCTGTCTTTCCATGTGGTTTATCATCTGGCTGCATAATAGTTTCACTTTCAGGGATCTGAATTTCTGTTACTTCAAATGTTTCTTGAACAGAAACTGACACATTTGCTTCATCTGTTTTTGGTGCTTTAACTATTGCTAACTCTGAAGATTTGTCTATGCTTGTTACTTCAGATACCGTGAGAGCTTCCTCAGGTGATAGTGTCATATCTGCTTGATGCCATTTTGGTAAGATATCTGATTTCAAATCCTCCTCTTTGCTTGCAGCTTCTACTTCTGCAACCCATACAGCTTGTTCCTGGGGTAATATTTTGCTTGCCTCTTGTAACTTCGGGGTGTCTATAGAAAGCTCAGTTTCTCTGTAGCTCAGTTCTGTTTCTGCCACAACAACAGACTGCTGTAGAATAACTTCAGTTTCTGCTCTGTGTTCATCAGGTTTGACATCAGGTTTCATATTTGCTGGGATGCCACCAGTCGATAGCTCTTCAACCATAATTGATTGACTTTCTGGTAAAATTACCTTGGCCTGCTTTTCTACTGGTTTGGCTTTTGTGTGAAGATCTTCTTCTTTCATTGCTACAGCCGTTTCTGAAACAGATACTGATTGATTAGTAAACAATTCAAAATTAATTTGTTGTTCTAGCTTACTCACATCAGTTGACGATATTTGTTCGGGAACTGCCTCTGCTGTAACTTCTCCTACACAAAGTGCTTCTGCTGCTGAAAAAAGAGACATCGCCAACCTACTGTCTGGCCTATGGAAATGTTCCAAGTCACATTCTTTTTCAGAATGCACAATTTCTGATATAACTAAGCCTTCCTCACTAGGAAATTTTGTTTGAGCTGTGTGATGTATAGGAGTTATTTGTGGAGCGATTTCTCCTTCTTTGTGTTCTGCTACTGGTTGGGAAATAGAAGTAGCTTGATGTGTAAGAAGTTCAACATTAACCATGTGCTCCAAATCTACATTCTCATCTTTAAAAACGCCTTCCTTAGAGGAGATAGTGACTTCTTCTACCTCTAAAGCCTGTTGTGCAGATGGTAACATTGTGCGAGCTTTTTTACATATTGGTTTAATATCTGGCTTCAGCTCCATCTCAGAGTCATCTGTCTGTACTTGAGAAATAACCACAGTTTGTTCTTCTTGAAGTGATATATCAGTGTTGTGTACTTCTGGCAGAGTTTCAGGAACAAATTCACCCTCCTGGTGGACAGGATTAATCTCTAAAACTGCTGCATGCTGGTATTCACCAATAATAGAAGCAGCTTTTCCAAAAACCAGCTTATCTTCAGACAGCTCTTGAAAAGACGACTCAGCAATCACAACTTCTGAAACTGCAGCTTGGGAGGAAAGAACTGACTGTTTGGCAATTCTACTAAGAGGAATAACCTCAGGATGAAAGCTTTCTTCTTTGTGTTCTGGCTGAACTACATAGATTTCTACTGGCTGTTCTGTTGAAATGACTGTTGATAGATGCTTTGGTGTTGGTATTTGCTCGGGTTTTAATTCTTCTTCTTGAGTACTTGAGGATATTTCACAAACAACCACGGGCTGCCTTTCTAGCATCTTCACTTCAGCTTCTACACCTAAGGGGATTGGGACCTCATCGAATGAAAAAGTCTGATCTCCTGCCACAATCTCACACACCATGAGAGAATCTTCTTCTCTAAATGTAGGTTGTATTTTCTTTAGTTCTGGTTTAATTTTAGGTTGAAACTCAGTCTCTTTAAATGTCTTTGTGATTTCTGTTACTTCAAGAACTTCTTGTGGTATAATATATTTCTGTGCTGTTTTGAAGTCAGGGTAAATTGTTGGTGTTAGCATGTCTTCTTTGTCATGTACATGTAATTCTGAAATGCTAAATGTTTGTCTTGGCACAATTGATATACCTACGTCTTTTTCATCTGGTTTTGTTTTTTTAACAAATGTGTCTAACTCTTCAGCTGTGGTGATTTCAGAAACTGTTGCAATTTCTCCTAGTGATGAAACAGAAGGTACAGCAGTGTGGATGTCATGTTTTGTAGGTTTAAATGTCTCAGGTTGCATTTCTGTTTCTGTTTCACTAATTACAACTGTTTGCATTTCAGTAACAGTTTGTTCAGCAGTGTGGGGTGTTTTCAGGCTTTCTACAAATAAATCAACCTCAGTGTTCCCTACAGTAATTTCAGAAATGGCCAATGGCTGTTGTAAAACCAGGGAAAAACCTGATTGCTCACTTTTAGGTTGCTCAGAAGGCTTCATTTCAGCTGTTTGATAGTGTGATGTAGATTCTTCAACTAAAAATGCTTCAGTTTCTTTGAAATATGTATTAGCAGTATGCATTTCAGGCATAGTACTTGGACAAAGTATTTTCTCGAGTTCTTGTACCTCCGTGTGTGTCACCTCTACAGCATCATATCCTGGAACAGAGTGTTTTGCTTTTTTCATTAACGGAGATATAAACTCTGGTAATTTACTTTCCAATTCTCCTGAATCCATCTGATTTATGGAAACAGATTTATGCTCTTCAAAACCTAAAGATGCTTTCACTTGAATACTTTCAGCTTGTTTTACACCTTCCTTTGCTTCTCCAGATAACATTACTTCTTGTATTGTAAGTGATTCTCCCGGTAAAAAAGACTCCAATGCAGATTGTTGAAATGGCTTTACCTCTTGTGTAAAGTGATGTCCAGTTTCTCCTGCTTCAATTTCAGAAATTTCAATAGCTTTTTCTGTAGAAAGTGTAGTTTTAGCAACAATACCCGTTGGTTTGCTAACTGTGAGCGATTTTTCTTTTGAAGCTGTTTCAGTTTGTATGATTTCAAGTGCTTCCTTTACTGGAACAGAGAAGGATGCTTGATAAGTAACTGGTAATTTTTCGGGTTTTACTTCACTTTCTTTAATGGTTAGCTCCATTTCCATAATATTCAAGGCTTCTTTAGGCATATAAGATGCTTCTGCATGTCTGACTTTTGGAATTTGCTCTGTTAAAAGATATGATTCTTTCATTTCACTTTCAGTGGCAGATATAATCATAGCCTGTTCTGATTCTATGCTTGTTTGTGCAACTGTAAGTTCGGGCATTTTATGTTTTTTCAGAATATCTTCTTTTTGGCTTGTATCATACTCTGTAACTTCCATAGCCTCTTGACTAGAGATATTTAAGATGGCATTTCGCCCACAAGGGAGACTAGTTAGTGTTAGTGTGTCTTCCTTCAATGAGGACTGTACTTCTGAAACCTCTACAGCTCCTTCTAGTTTGAAGACAGTATTCTGTGGAAGTATAATCCCTTCTGGTGTTTGTTTTGGCAGAAATGTACCTTCTTTCAAACCTGTATTTGTTTCACTGACTTCAAATGCTTGCTCTTCTATCAAAAACGTGTCTGCTAATTTAGATTTTGGTACTATTTCAGTACTTAATCTTTCTTCTTTGTCACGTAAGGTAGTTTCACAGATTTCCAAAGCTTCTCGAGTTGACAAACCAATAAATGCTTTATTTTCATTTGGCTTTTTGTCAGGACCTAAAACTGTTTCAGTAACTGCAACGTTGACCTCTTCAACTCTAATAGCTTCTTTAGTTGGAAATGTGATTACTGCAGATTTAGCATCTGGTCGCATATCAGGTGCAAGCTCAGCTTCACCTCCGAGAATATTAGTTGAACAGACATTTAAAGCATCTTCTTGTGGAAAAACTTTCTTGGCTGAGTGTAGCACTAGTTTTTCGTCATACAAAGTACCTTCTTTTATGTTTGAAACAGCCTTTTCTACTGAAATTGCCATCTGAGGAGACACAGTAATTGTTGCCCTTTTTTCATAAAGTGTTTCTGGAAGATCTAGCTTAGACACTTGTGTTTCACTTCTAGCCTCGCTAACCAGTACAGCAGCTTGTCCAGTTTCGTAATCAATATTTGCAGAAGTTAAAGGTATTTTATCTGCAATGAAGTCATCTTCTTTGACAGAAGCTTCGTTCATTTCTATCTGCAAAGCTTCTCCTTTCACAAAATCTGCTTCTAGTTTAATACCTTCTGGTGCTTTTCTTTGTTTCAGGAAATTTTCTTTAGAACCAGTTTCTGTTTCTTCTATAAGTAACGCTTCAACTGAGATAAAATCAGATTTCGCTGATACTGGTGTCTGTTTCTCACTTGTTAGTATGCCTTCCTTTATTGAGGTTTCTGTTTCTGTTATAGTTTTTGCAAGCTGAGCTGAATAACTTGCTACAGCTGAACGAGTCTGTGGCATTTCTGGAATTTCCAGATCTACCTCTTTTATTTTACTTGAATGCTCTTCAACCACAATAGCTTCTTCAATAAATAAACTGGAACTGGCTGTCTTTTCATCTGGTAATGGTATAGGAACAAATTCTTCTTCTTTATCTACAGAATAAATGTCAGTAATAGCAAGTGCTTCCTCTCTTAAGAAATCAGGCCTTACTATTATTGCATTAGGTTTCTCTTTAGGTGAAAACTTGTCCTCATTCTCAGCTACCTCAATTTCTTCAATCTGCATAGCTTCTTCGGGTGTTACATGTGCTTTAGGTTTTAATCCTTTTGGTGTGATAAAGGGTTTCAATTCACCCTCTCCTATTGCTGTTGTCATCTCTTCAATTGAGAAAACTTCTTGAGAAACAAGCTCAAAATTGGCAGTATCTTTTTGTGGAATTTCCACAAAAATATCTTCTTCCTTCCCCATCAATTGAGAAACAGTAACTTCAATAGATTCCTTTTCACTGATCGTTTTCTGTGCATGTCGTGCATGTGGAAGTGCAGTAGAATGAAAAACATCTTCTTTATCTTCAGTTGTTACCTGAGATATCACAACACTTTCTCCAGTAGTGACTTTTGACACAGCAGATTTAGGCTCAGGTTTAATTTCTTCCAATTCTACTTCAGTCAAAATACTTCCAGTTTCCAAAACTGACACTGCCAAGTTGATTGGTTGGACTTGAAGAGCTTGAGCATCTTTAGGCTTCTCTGGTACTTTCATATCCTTTTCTTTTATTTCACTATCCATTTCTTCAATTATGATTGCTTCTTCTATAGGAAAACCTGGTCTTGCTTTTCTTCCTAAAGGCAAAGGCTGAGACTGGAAATTCTCCTCTTTATAATTGTCTTGTACCTCCATAATGCTAACAGCTTCTTTTCTTATGAAATCAGCAATGGCTTCTAACATATTTGTAAACCTTGTTGGTTTAAAGTCGCCTTCTATATCACCCGTGCTTATTTCTTCTATTATTAGAGCATCTTTAAGAGCAAGTTCAGTTTTTGGTGTTTCACCTGATGGCGTTAGGAAAGGTTTCAAACACTCTTCTCTACTAGCAATGGTAACTTCACTCACATGAAGATGATCTTGAGTTGTGAATTCAATATCTGCTTCTTGTTCACTGGGCCATCGTTCAAGAATGTCCTTAGTTTCTCCAAGAGTTAGTGATTCGTGTACATTAATAGATGTCTCCTCATTCACTGTTTCTATGGCTGTTCTCGAATATGGAAGAGGCTTGGTATCTAAGTTTATTTCCTTCAATTCTGGTAATACTTCTATAATTATCTTACTTTCACCTGTCTGAATATTAGGTGTTGCTAAATGCAGACTTGGCTTGGTTTCCTCAATA